AAACGTAATCATGCCACTCCCCTTAGTGCAAACGCACCCACGCGCAAATTTCTCATCAATAACCTTTACGCACACTGCCCTTTGGACGAGTCATTTAACAACGGTCTAATAATTAATTACGATAGTAAGATGGAAGCAACAAAAAAAAGAGAACATCAAACAAGGAATTTGCTCAACACAGATATAAAAACCTATGTAAAGAGGCACCATGTAAAACGATTAACGGCATTCAATAATAACTGATAAGGTATAAGCAGAAGATTACCGACATTTTCCTATCGAAATAAAATTTATGGATGGCGGGGCTATTATATATTTTTTCCGTGATGCGTCGAATGTTTGTCATGAGTCCGTCACTGCTCACATACTCACATACAGCATCTCGGGAGGGGGGGGGGGGGTCGGGTGGAGGGAGTGAGGGGAGGAGGTGTTGGTTCAATTATTATATTCAACATCAATATTTGCTCTATTCATAAAGCAGGGTAAACTCAAAGTTAAAGAGGCTAATAATGTTGATAACACTTGATTTAAATTACTTTAATGACATCATAATTATAATAAACGTACTTATCATGCCCCAAAAAAGTGAAAAATCATAGACTGATTCTTGATTCGTTGAAAATAGTTTGAATTACGGATTTCAAAATTTGATATCCCCCCCCCCCCAGTGTCAATTAAAATGCATTGAACCTACTATGAAATTATAATATTGTTATGACCTGCGTACAAGTACAGCGCACCTATGTATTATGGTGCAAATGAAGACGAAAATTCATGGTAATATTTATTTTATTATTTTCGCCTCAACACATGCATAACTATGCTTTCTGCATATTTTTTATTTACTTTGCTTTAGTGCGATCCAGTGTAAGTTACACATTAGGAAAACATTTCAGCCTAGAAAAAAAGAAGGAATTAATATTAATGAAACTTAATTGCTAATAAATAGTAGTTGTCAAAAGGTGACTATAAATACATGCACAACTTGACTTGAATGATATTTATGTATACTCTTCCCGATACTGTCATGAATGCAACTTTCTCTCCCATCCTGCTCCTCTCTGTCCCTTCGCTTCCTATGGTCTTTATCTATCTTTCTTTCTTCCTAACCTAATTATCATGCATTGCGTCGTATTGTATGTATTCTTACTTCCATTTTCGAAAGGACGTCCCTTCATTAAGTTTATGCTTAAGACGACCTCTTTTCTGTATAAACTATGTCATTATCATACACAGGAGCGACAGAGCGTCATCCAAAGTAGGGGGGGGGAATCAAAGGGCACTTTCTGGAAAAAGGGGCGCCTCCAAAGGGAAACCTCAAAATGAACATACACCGTTTTTAGACATTGGTATATACCCCTACATCGTCATGATCGTAATTACACTGCCAGGGAGGTACAAGATACTGTTTAAGCAACATACTATGCAGTTGGGTGTGATGGTCTTAATATCAATTTTCGAGCGAATGTAACGAGCGAGCAGATTTGTGAGGTCGCAGTGCGAAAAATTACATCTTATAAAGAGGACAAAAACAAATCCTGATTAGTTTCTAGCACAATGTAATGAAGAAAGACTGAACAGTTCTTTTATAAGTAAGATAATTATAACAACTATAAACGCGAGGGAGCTCTAGGGAAAATTATAAAAAAGGGGCTCTAAGTCGCTTTGAATTAGGGGTACATGTTATGGAGAAAGTAAAAGTAGGCACTTATCAGAAGGAAAAAGGACAGTTATTAGAAAAGAAAAGGTGCATGTGTCAAAGTGAAAAGGGCAATTGTCAGAGGTGAAAAGGGGTCATTTCTTGCACCTGAAAAGGGACACTCTTCAGAGATGAAAAAAGGCACCTGTGAGAAAGGAAAAGGCACCTATCAGATATTAAAAGGGGCATTTATCATATGTAAAAAAGGGCATTTGAAAAGTGGAAGGGGCTCATGTAAAAAAGGAAAAGGGGTACGATTTAAAGTTTTAAAAAAGGCAAATCAGAAATGAAAAGGGGAATTACTCGCACCTGAGAAGGGGCACTCACCAGAGATGAAAAGGGGCACTTATGAGGATGGAAAAGGGGCACTTATTATAAAGGAAAAGTGGCACCTGTCAAATTTTGACAGTGGTAATTATCGGTAATTATTTATGAAAAGGAAAAGGGGCACTTTTTAGAACGGAAACGGGCACGTGTCTGCAATAAAAGGGGTACTTATCAGAGGTGAACAGGCGCACTCATCAAAGAAGAAAAGGAGCAATTATCAGAAGGGGAAGGGGGCAATTTTTGCAAAGAAAAAGAGGTACTTGTCAAAATGAAACGTGTACCTCTCAGATTGAAAAGAGGCACTTACCAGAGATGAAATATGGCACTTATTAGAATGGAAAAAAGACGCTTATTACAAAGGAAAAGGGGCCCTTGTTAGAAGGGGAAGGGGCAGTTTTTACAAAGGAAAAGGGACACTTTGGGGTACTATACCCTCCCTCCCCTCACACAGAGCGCCGCCTCTGATCATAATATCTAAAGTTATAAGATTATTTTAAATGTAAATATGTTGATGTCTATGAAATAAGTAAACATCAAATCAAATCAATCAAACCAAATAATAACAATATTGGGTTCTTGTGTAGACCTCATTTCCACTATTGGCGCTCCCTTATTATTACACCGTCTTTCTATAATCATTATACCAGAAAACTAACCAGTGAAAGGTCATATCATCCGGAAGAATAAATATGTTGTAAAGGACATATTTCACGAATGTCCTTTATCACCTTCAATAAAAGCAGTTGTGGATTTTAAAGAGAGAAAGCTGGATTTACTTTCAACTAATTTTATAAATAATCAACAGGTCAAAGAATGTTACCAATAGTTTTACTCGTTGAATGATTTGACGTGGGAATGACTCCTACCCTCAAATATGCAAGCGACTTGTAAAGCTTTTGAAAATTACGATTTTTATACGTCATGTAATAAGATATTTGAATTTTACAGTATAGAAGAACAATTGGGGATCTTATCACTTGAGCCTGGAATAACCTTGCTCTCTTTCATTGAGAAATTATTCACATGGACTCAAGAGTAAAAAAACAAAAAAAAAAACAAAAAAAAAACAAAAAACAAAAGGGGGGGGGGGGGTTTAGAGAAATTTAGGGGGGGGGGGTTTACTCACAAAAAATTACCAAAGGGGGGGGGGGGGTTTAACCCCCAAAACACCCCCCCCCCCCTGTGTACGCGCCTGTGTGTGATGGTCCGAATATTTATTTGCGAGCGAACAAAATCTTAAGATTTGTGAGGTCGCAGTGCGAAAAATTATATATTTTAAAGAGAAAAAACGCAATCCTGATGGGGTTTTAAGCACAATCTAATTGTGAAAGACTAAAAATACATTTAATAAGTAACATAATAATATCAACTATAAATAGGTGCGAGAGTAGCGAGCGATTTATTTATATATTTATCTCTTTTGGGGGGGGGGGATTAAAAAATTAAAAAAATAAAATTATGGGCACTTTTTGGAGAAATGAAAAGGGGACACTTATCAGAATAGAAAAGGACGCTCGTAAGAAAGGAAAATAGGCAAGTGTCAAAGTAAAAAAGGGAACTTATAAGAGGTGAAAAGGGGCACTTCTCGCACTTGAAAAGGGGGACTCACCACAAATGAAAAGGGGAAGGGGCTCTTATAAAACATGAAAATAAGCACTTACCAAAAGGAAAACAGGTATTCATTAGAAAGGAAACGATGTTCAAGTGTCAAAATTTAAAGGGGCACTTACTAAAAATGATTAGGGGCAGTTGTGGGAAAGGAAAGGGGCTCTTAAGAAAAAAAAGAGGCACTTATCACAAGGAAAACAGGTACTTATTTAAAAAAAAGAAGGGGACTGTGTCAAAGTAAAAAGGCAGTTATCAGTGGTAAAAAGGGGCATCTATCAGATTTTATTAGGGACATTAATTTTTATTAGAAGTCAAAGGGGCATTCATGAAAAGGGAAAGGGGTTCTTATAAAAAAAAAGGAAATGGCACTAATCAGACGGGAAAAGGGTATTCATTAAAAAAAAGGGAAACGGGGTCATATGTCAAAATAAAAGAGGCATTAATCAGAGGTGAAAGGGGGAAGAGGCTCTTATTAAAATAGAAAAGGGGCACAAATCAGAAGGAAAAGGTCACTTAAAAGTAAACGGGGTCATGTCTCTAAATAATAGGGGAATTAATCAAAGGTAAAGAGGGGGCACTCATCAGAGATGAGAGCCCTAATCAGAAAGGCAAGGGGCATTTATCACAAAGGAAAAGGGACACTTGTCAAAGTTTAACGACCACTTGTCAAAGTCAGATTTGAAAAGACGATTTTATATGAGGCGAAAGGAGCACATATCAGAATTAAACAGGGAAACTTCTCGTACCTAAACATTTGGCACTGAGATGAAAATGGGCACTTAAAATAGAAAAGAGACACTTATTGTTAAGGAAAATGGACATCTATCAGATTTTTAAAGGGTATGTATCGAAAGCGGAAAGATGCATTTTTGAGATGGAGAAAGGACCCTTAATTAAAGAAATACAGATTCGGGGCACTTATCACAAGGAAAAGGGTCACTTAGTAAAAAAGAAAAGAGGGTACGTGTTACAATAAAAGGGGCATTTGTCAGAGGTGAAAAAGGGTCAGTTATCAGAATGGAAAAGGGGCAGTTATCAGAAGGGAAAAGGACATTTGTACAAAGGAAAAGGGGTACTTTTCAAAGTAAAAGGGGCTCCATTAAGATTTGAATTGGGGGGGGGGCATTATCAGCGGTAAAGGGAGCACTTATCAGAGGTGGAACGAGCAGCTATTAGGTATAAGAAAGAAAAAAGGGGAAGTAACAGGGGGCACTTTTCCTTTGTAGTACTTACCCCCCCCCCCCGAGCAATCTATACACATATATTATGTGTATAAATGGCTCTGCCCCCCCCCCCCCCCTCCCCAAAGAGCGCCCCCTCTTGGAGAGAGAAGAGAAAAAGACAGTGAAAGTTCGTTGGATTCGAGTTCAACAATAGACACGCCCACTCGCATCCTCATCACATGACTGTCTCATGCATGTCACATGACTTATACGAGAACTCTTCCCTAGGCCTACGCCTGCATACACGCAGAAATCCTGATCCTGATCATGGCTTATGGAACCGTGTTTTTAGCTGCTATTTTGTCCCTTTCAGTTGGTTCATCTTTAGCAAAGTGTGGATATCAGGTAAAGTTATTTATTAACTGTATTTATGTGAGATACAATGTGTTTAATTGGGAAGAAATGGACATGGTTTAAATTATTATTGCTTTATGTGGCCCCACATGATAATAACTATGTTTGTAAAATGAAGAGTCTTTTCTTTTAATATTCTGCGAATAAATACTTTGAAATTAAAACATTTATCAAGCAGACTGATCATATTTCTCATAGTATATCTAAAGGGAAGGAAAGAGAAAAATTAATCAGGATGATATAATAGCGAGAGAGAAAGAGAGAGAGAGAGAGAGAGAGAGACAGAGAGAGAATGAGTGTGGAGATGAAAATTTGATTTTTAATTTTTTTCCCTTTTATTTTCATCTTCAATTTCACACGGTATGACTTGCACATAGCTGCGTTACTATCCTGGCTGTGTATTAAAACCTGTTCTATTGATTCTCAACATTTCCAACACCACTGTAGTCTGTACAAAACTCAACTGATTTCACTAAAAATCGGTACTTAAGTGACAATTGGTGACACGTAAATAGCGGTAAAATACAATTTTTTTCAACTAACCGACGCGATGTTAGAAAGATAATTAAAAAATTCAAGTTGTGAGTCTACTGTCAAACTTGCCGATCAGCCACATCATATTTATTGTGTGCATCTGTGTGTATTGACTATTGACTATTCATGTTAGCCATTGCTGCCTCTTAGCATAATTAAAAAATTCAAGTCGTGAGTCTACTGTCAAGTCGTGAGCAGTAGAGGTCAATATGCATTAGCATTGACTCAATGCTTTGCTGGAGTGGTATGACTACATGTATGATTAATATATGAAAGACTCCTCCAACTGATTTTTTTTATGTAGGGACACTGATTTTCCACGATCACTGAAAACGGACGGAATTCACGGAAATGACCATTTGAAACGGAAACAAAAATTCGAATGGAAAGTCACGGAAAACCCCTTTCACCTCAAAACTTTTCATTTTTCAAGAAGAAAATTGTAAAACTTACACTATTTTGTGATTTGTTATGCAGTGAAAAAATATTGGGCCTAAAATCATGGTTAATAACTCTGAATATTTAGCGATATTCATCAGATTCTTAGGAGACAGGGCGCTGCCATTTTGTTTTGCTGGACCGATAGAGATGGTGACACAAAACATGGTACAAATAGCAGCGAATCAATGCTATTATGCCAGCTAGGCGCCTAGTATTACGTAAACGTAACACTAGGCACACAAACGACTGCAGCGGGCGCTAAGTGCGGCGAGATTGTACACACGCTGTTGTACAGTTCGAAAAAGGGGCTGGCATGTGCGCCTAAAATCGATTAATCGCTGACATGATAGCCAAGACTGAAATGTTTTCGCCGACGTCGGTACTACTCAGCCTGTATCTGTATCTGTATCGTTCCGTCAGGAATATGTCGTGTTCCGACACATTTCGCTAACTTTAGTCTGCTTGTCTAAGTTCGAATTTGAAGTTGGTAAATCTAAACATTTGATCATTTCTCGTATATTTTCACTAGTATTTTGCATCAAGTTTATCCAGTCCCGTCTATGTTTTTGAGTGGTCATCAGTGGCAAAACGAAATTTCACGGAATTCCAGATTTTCTGAAACGGAGAAGGTCATTTTTTTAAACAGAAAATAAGTGTCCCTATGTATGATTGACAGCTTTGGTTGTTGTTGTTGCCATTTGGTTAAAGATCTAAAAGATGGCACTTTCACTTTTCAATCTCTCCAAGATTATTATTGCCAAACTTCATGCTTCAGAGGTTGTTAAAGTGACTTGTATAATACATTGTTGAAGTTTGATGAAAAAACTGCATAATTTTTGTATAAAATGTAACTCATTGTATTCGTACTAACCCTCTAACATGAACAAAATCCTGACAAAATTCTCAAACCACAAAGATATTTATAGTTTTATAGTGAGACACCCTCTAACAGTAAATTCTCCCAACCATATTTGAATTTTCTCAACCGTTTTCCATGAAAATAAGGCATAAGACAGGCTTTTAAACATATTTCAACACTTATTGTCTGGAATGATATATAGAGCCAATTCATTGCTTTGTGACGATTTACATTCGCCTAAAATGTAATTAAATTGTCTAGTTGTGAGAAGTAAGGAATAGATCAGATCAGTTTTCCCCAATTTTTTTATCATTAATAATGGTTTTCAATCAGACTTTCAGATTATCTTTAATTGTACATCTAGCATTGAAGTCACTACCTTAGCACCATTTTCTCTCATCTGAACAATGTTACCAAGTCCCTTTAATGGTGGTACCTAATGCAGGTGGAGGAAGTTGAAGGGTTTATGGTTTCCCTTCTTTTCACTCCACAATCAAATCCTCGCTTGGGTGCTGGACTAAAAGAAAGGTTGAAAGAAAATGCTGATCTAATAATAATAATAATAGTGGGTTCTTGTATAGTGCTCATGTCTGTCAGACTTGACACTCCTGGCGCTCCAGATTAAAGACTAAAGACTGGCGCCACTGAAAGTAGATATAAATGTAACCTATATAACATCAAGCCAAAACATAGATTGAGAATCGGTCTCAACTTCCTTGTTTTGGAAAGTGATTTAGTATACAAATATTGACTGCTTTGAGGGGTACGATTAAAACTATTGCCCACGGTGATCTCTTAACTTTAATGTGACCCGAGATAAAGTTGAGGGGTATAGTGCAGTCTCAAGATCATCAAAGTGCTACACTTTTAAATGTGACCCCCCAAATAAGCAGTCAATATTTGTTTTATATACCGCATTCCTGCGTCTATTCTATACAAAAATATTTAAACAAAATACGCCTGTCCAAATGCCTGTCCAAATGCGTCCTTGAATTGTACACGCAAGGAGAACTATGCCCATGCAGTCAATATTTTTTGCTATACTGCCCAGCAGTCAGTAGCAAATTTTTGTTCCTGTAGTTTTGACCAATCAAAGGGCTAGAATCTTTATCTTGAAGCCTTTGGTATACATAATTATCCCTTTATGCGTAAAATGTGGCACAAAGTGATTATTTGTGTGGCACAGGGTAACTTAAAGAGGGTGTAGCGTGGCAAATACTGGTGAACGCCATCTACGACTTCTTTTGGGCAACAGCACGTAAACAAATGGATTTGATTCACGGTCAGCGCTCGCTAGCGTTTGCAAAACAGACCAAGTTCTCCTCACGCTTCATTTTCGCCTATGTTGCACACAAATACTGTGGTTGCGTCTGTCGTAGTGGTATTATACGCGATTGGCCTTGAGTCAGGCCACTGGAAAGACTCTTAGTCTCTTCATGCTACACTCCCTTTAAACTTGAATCCTAAACCTACTTGTAGGACCGTTAGGGTAACATAACCACTGTGTCTTGTTTCTAAAGTAAAGGTAGAATGCTTTATATTTCATGTCTAATGAGTTAACCATCTGCATTTATTTTCAGTCATGCAACCCAACTAAGCCAAACCGAGTGAATGTTCATCTAGTCCCACACACTCATGATGATGTGGGATGGCTCAAGACCGTAGATGAATATTTCTATGGAGGTAAGTGGGTCTACTATTTCACAAATTATATTTACATTAACACCTATTCTTGGCAGAAATTGTTTACCTCCGTCCAATAAAATTCTGGCCTTGTGCCATACCTGGGGAACCGTTTTAGGAACCAAAGTATTGTTATGCAGATAAAATTTTAAGGATTCCACCATGTAATTCGGTGAAGGTGCCATGAAAATGGATGATAAGCTCTCCTAAGAGCTCTTTGGCATTTGACGCACTTATCCCGACACGGCACTAATTTCCTTTGGCAAGGCATTAAACTTCATTTGCCACTCAATACCCAAGAGAGAAATGCAGACCCGTTATAGGATGACGAAAGCATTTGTGTTAGTAATTGCCTATGCCCTCTTGGTAAGCATATGGTAGGAATACTCCCCAGCGAATGGTTATGGAGCATATTGTGCGTTAATGAATCCGATGACCGGGGTAATAGAATCCGTAAAGCGCTTAGAGACGGTATTCGGTATTAAGCGCTTTATAAAATCCAGATTATTATTATTATCCGCAAGCTCTGACCCTCTTCAGAAAGCAGTCTTATTCTACTGAAGACGGTTCGAGCATGCAGATCTTGAACCAAGACCTCTTCTTAGCAGAGCTTACCAGCCTTTTTCAGGGCTCTTATTCCTTTTAAGGGATTACATTGTGGAACCCTAAAAACTTTGCTACTGTAGATTGTTAACCTTGTATAACTTGGAAGTCGCACAAGTCAAAATTTCCCTGAGTCAAATCTGTTTTTTTTAACCAAACTATGCAAAATATGTCTTAGTTGTATTTCCTAATTCAAATTTTGCAATTTTCGTTTTATTTGTTTGTGGTCCCAACAGATTTGATGAGGATGCGAGTGGGCGTATCTTCTGCAGAGTTAACTGTACCGGTATTCAGTTTCACCGTCTTCAAGTTATAGTTATTTAATTGTTAACCTTTATATTTTTTGGTATAAACCATGTCACTTTTCTTCAATCTCTATTGTTGTTTTGTATTTACTGTTGATTTTAGCTTTGCAGAAAATAAGATCAATAATTCTAATCATATTGTTAATGATTATAATTTAAAAAAATGATGAATAAAATACTACTACGTGTACTACTACTACTACTACTACTACTACTACTTCTTCTACTACTACTACTACTACTACTACTACTACTACTACTACTACTAATACTACTACTACTACTACTACTACTACAACTACTACTACTACTACTACTTCTACTACTACTACAAGTACCACTACCACTACCACTACTACTGCTATAACTTCTACTACTGCTTAACTATTACCACTACTGCATATGAAATTAATGATGATGATGATGATGATGATGATGATGATGATAGCAGTAACAACAGTCACATCTTCCCTACAGCCAATAACAGCATTCAGCATGCAGGAGTGCAGTACATCCTGGACTCGGTCATCTCCGCACTCGCAAAGGACCCTGGGAGGCGATTCATCTATGTCGAGTCGGCATTTTTCGAGAGATGGTGGCATCAACAGGATGAGAAGACGCAGTTTCAGGTCAAGCAGTTTGTCAATGATGGTAGGCCTTTCCTCTAAGTAAAACGGAATGATCCCTGATGTAATGTAGTGCACAAATAGGTTTTACATGTGTGTAGTGCAGGTTGCAGTTATCAGAATTACGTCCAAGGATGGTATCTAAGTTATTTTCTACCTCTTAGTTGTTTGATATTCCACTTGAGTAATGCTAGTATCTTACTATTTATCATCAAATCAAATCAAAGAAACCTAAGGAAAACCTTTGAAGGTCCAACCAAAACTGTATGTGACCTTTACTCCCCTCTCATTCTCAGGTCGGCTCGAGTTCATCAATGGAGGGTGGAGTATGAATGACGAAGCCTGCACACATTACAACGCCATCATAGATCAGATGTCTATGGGTCTAAGATTCCTCGTCAACACCTTTGGAAAATGTGGCATTCCGAGGGTGGCGTGGCACATCGACCCCTTCGGCCACTCAAGGGAACAGGCCTCCCTCTTTGCCCAGGTGAGCCTCAAAACATGAATATTGTATTCCTGATGCAGTATGGGTCATGCAGTTTGCTCTGCATGAGTACATTTTTTTTGGGACTGCAAGAAATACTTCAACTAATGCAAACTTTTACTTAGGAAGTAAGACATGTTTTGCATTGTTTTGTCCGAAAAATGTATTCAACTTGGGGGAAATTTGACTTAGGAAGTATAAATACTAGGGCTGCGACGAGTAGTCGAATGCTCGAGTACCCGCATGGTTGACAACTACTCGAGTACGATTTCTCTTACTTGAATATTCGGCCGCAAAAAAAAAAAAAAAAAAAAAATTCCCTGGCCAACGGTTACCCGTGCCAGAGAGAGCGGCGGCCGCTGGCATGGTGTTGTCGTAAAAATGTTTCCCAACTCAAGAACGGTCAAACTCACCCCTCAGAAACTGGGACCAAATGTCCAGATTTCTGTTTGGACTTGGAGGAAAATGGATTATTCTGCCATCTTTGGTTTTTAAAACAGCATTGTTTACTGTTATTATGATTATTAAATCGGCCCCTTCAACTGCAACTCGAAGTAAAATTGCATGCGTTTTCGGCGACGGAGTTCTTGTTGTTCGTTTAGTATTATAATGGCTATTAGTCAAATTTGACTATTGTTGTCAATTTCATCGCATCTCTTTCTTTTAATGTCTTGGTAAAAAAAAAAAAAAATTCTTTCCTTTTCCAATTTCATTTTAATATAATATTATTCATAGTCTACAACAACAAAAAAAAAAAAAAAAAAAAAAATTATTTCAAATTAAACCACGATCGGCCCACAGTTCCAACTCACGCTGGCCCTGTCCTTTCTATGATGCCTTCTTACCAGCCCAGCGAGTTACGTTACGCCGTATGCTTCTCAGTTGATAAACTCAACCTAGGTCACTCTGGCATAGACAAGGGGGCGTCATGTACCTGTATGTTTAGAGGGTACACGACTGGTAGTGGTGGTGGCAAAAAAAAAAAAAAAATCAAAAATGTTTCATAAAATTTGTTATCAATAACAAATGCTAAATTTCTATATTAACAAACTTGCTCTCAGCCAATCACATGCCATGATTTCAGTAGCTTACACAGTTATTACTGATTGAGGACAATTGGGGTACAATCGTTGTTTTTTATTCAATATAAATGATGCAATTTTACAAGGAACTTTTTCTTCTTCTACTGGTAGCTCTTTAATTCATGAATAGTTTTGTATGCTCATGCTTGATTGATATACAAGTATCATTGGGGGATATACAATGTATGAATGTACATATTAATTCCTTTGCAGGTGTTTTTGAGAGAAATTAATATTTTGAGCCATTATAATCCATTTTGTTGCATTTGTTTTCAGTCTAATTCAATCCAATTTACAGAGTATTAGGTAGAGCATCTTTTCTTTGCAGTTACAACGTGCTTCCCGATTTGCTTCCTGATTCGCTTTACACACATGTAGTATAAGGGCAGCTTACAAATTTGCTTCCCACTACTTTTATTTGCTTCATCGACTTTCCTGCTTTCATGCATATGCTTATAAGAATCACTTTCCCATCAAAATATAGCCACTCTTTCCCTCATCATGTCCTGCTTGCCAAGCTCAATCCATGCTTATTTCCCCACACATATCCAAATGCTATTCTGTATCATCTGTCGCTTCTTTAAATCGAGGATATTGAATAATTTTATATAGAAATCAATTCTTTAAACAAGTGTGTCTAGTTCTATATACACCTTCCTGTTTGCAGTCAAGTTTTTTCTCATTTTGGTGATTCTAAAACCTCACAGTTAAAATGGTATTGTACTACCTTATTCCAATGGTTTCCATTTAAGCAATCATGCAAAAGGCGCTCTTCGATTCAATTTAATTTTCAATTGAATTTAGTTATGTTTCCAACTAAACATTTACAAATATTTAGGAATACAGTTTGAAAACAGAGGGGTCCACTACAAAGAAATGCTTGTACAATCCTGGACCCCTCAAATCATACTTAGGAATAATGATTAATCAAATTAACAGATTTGTAACTACAAAAGGAACTACAAAATAAGGGAAAAGAGGAGATGACAACAGAAACAAGAACGGGACAAAACAGTATTTAACATGACAAAGATAGGAGAACACGGTCAAAATACAAAGAGTAGACAATGCCAAAAAAGAAGTGAGAGATCGGGGGTACATCTTTCCTATTTGCTTTCCATTTCTTTGCTTCATTTCACCAAAACCATTAACATCATCAGATGGGCTTTGATGGATTCTTTTTTGCGAGACTTGGCTACAATGACAAACTCCACCGTCTGAACACAAAGAGGATGGAGGAAATCTGGCAAAGTAACCCAAGCATCGGAAGCGTGTCCGATCTTTTCTTTGGCGCCCTCTATGCCCACTATGGTCCGCCGACAGGCTTCTGTTTCGACCAGACCTGCAACGACCCTCCCATACAGGTAGATTTGTGTGTCGTGACCTTTGACATTTAACCTGTGCTGTTTATCTTTGTGTTTGTATTCATGGTAGATGGGATTCGATGGGTTCTTCTTCGGAAGGCTAGGCTACAATGATAAGCTGCACCGCCTGAACACGAAGACGATGGAACAAGTTTGGCATACCAACGAGAACCTGGGTAGCCCGGCTGATCTTTTCTTCGGCGCCCTCTATAATGGATATGGTCCCCCGCCGGGTTTCTGCTATGACAGGGGATGCAATGATCCTCCAATACAGGTGAAGGAGATGGAGAGATGGAAAAGAAGAAAAAGAGAGAGAAAGACAGGAGAAGGGAGAGAATAGAAAGGAAAGCATGAAAGAACAAAAAAAGGAAAAGGGATGGTTGAGGCCTTGAGGGAGAGAAAGAGGAAGTGAATCTAAAGAAGGGAGAGAGAGGGAGAGAAAGAGGGAAGAATGGCGAAGGGAAACAGGAGTAGAAACAGCAAAAAATTGCATGCAATATTCTTGAATGACCATATTCCGTTTGATGCCAGGAATTGAAAAAAGGAAATTAAGCTTTAAAATCTATAAATTGGCCACACGTGGAGAGGTTCAAAATCATTTTTTTGGATAAAAACTGGCATTTTTTCCAACTTTTTTAACGTTGTTAATAACACTCCTTCATAAACAGACATTTTTAGAAATATTTAAGTAATATTGACTGCCTTCTGGGCAATACGACATATATCGCCCGAACCGAAGGTGAGGGTGATATATGACAAGTCGTATTGCCCTGAATTAGGCAGTCAATATTACTATTATTAACCACATCAGACATCTAGAGCAAACAAGAAACTCTTACTATCTTATACTCTTAAATTATGTAGGCTACACAGGGTTTCCTAGCATTAGAAGTTGCAAAAACATTGTCTAACCAGCACTGTTCATCCAGTGTTTGACAGATTTTCGATACACTGCAAACAGTTTGCCTAGGGTGTGATTGTTACGTCACAATGGAGTTCGCGCAAAGTGCGCATTTTCTTATACACGATGCGCGATGTAAATTGCAATAGCTGATGCGCGATGTAAATTACAACTGGCACTATATTATTGCTCACTAGTTTAACACGCATTTTGCCATTGACTTTCAGAGCGGGCTAAAATATTTGTCCATTGACTTACTGTATAACCTATATTGCCCGCCAAATTACACACAAATCCCATTGACTGTTCTGAGCGGGCTAAAATATTTGCGCATTGGTTTACTGTATAACCTATATTGCCCGCCAAATTACACACAAAATCCCATTGACTTTTCTGCGCGGACTAACTTATTGTAATTTTGTTGACTTATCCATCAAACCTTGAGGGCAATAACATTTAAAAATTGCCCTGCTCAGATGTCTGATACGGTTAATAATATGATTTATTAGAACAATGTAGCAAAAGAGAAAAAACGTTATTGTTGCCAATTTGAAGAACAACATGTGATCGATTTAATAGATCCTGCTCTGAAAGGGTTAATCATACATTACTTTGTTGTATTGCAGGATGATCCAACACTCTTTGACTACAATGTGGATGAGCGTGTAGCAAAATTCACAAAGTATGCAAAAGACCAGGTGAGCATATGAATCTTTTTGAGTTTGCTTTTTTTTCTTTCTCATATTTTCTTTGAGAATTATTTTTGTTTAACCTTGTAGTTTCTAATGTTCTTGTTCTCTGTACATTTATTTTGTACTCTCTGTTTTTTTAATAGAGATTTAAATATTCTTTTCATTCATCGTCCAACTCTGTGGACATTACATCATCTATCATAATTATTATTATTAAGACAAAGACAAAGACAAAATCAAGAAAACAGTGAAATGCAAAACAACAATACGGTTTGTACTGTGAGTCACATGAACGCTAAATAACTATTAACCAAAAACCTTTTTCTAATGCATGTGATTTAAATAAAAAGGTAGCTAAAGATAGAAAGATGCAATAAGAAAACTGAAAGAATAAGGAAAATTGCTCAGCGCATCATCGGTTTAGAATGCCCAGTTTAGAAAATATATATGTTGATCGCACATTGCTGAAGGTATTAAACACGTATTATGAAAGACCCAACACATCCGTTGTTCCATAATTATAATGTAAACCGATCAGGAATTTGCCTCTGCGTTCCCCGCACTAGGCGGGAGCGCTTTAGACGTTCATTTGTGCCGGATTTGATTCATATTTACAAAAGTAGGGTAAAACGAGGGCAAGTATTGTAGACATTGTACTATTGTATCTCTTCTCTCCATTTCCTAGGTAAGAAATCACATTGTACTTATCATGCTTATCTGATGCAGACTATTTCCGTGTTCCCTATTTATATTTGAATTATGAGGTGCCTGGATGTTAGACGTCGCTCGTATTGTTGGATGTAACGTTATGGATGTTATGTTGTTATTATATTTTATAATTTGTATAATTGTGTACATTGTTTGTAAAATACACCTGTACCAGTGAGCAACAACTTGACAATAAAATCAATTCAATTCAATTAAATTCAATTCAATTAAATTCAAAGAGAAAATGGTTTATGTCTCCCCTTGGCTCCCCCCCCCCCCTAAATAAAAGGAGAACACACGTATACAATCAAACATTGAACATATCATGAAGTTCCTCTAGAGGGCGCTGTGCAACTGAATGCTGTCTAAACAATGTCAGCAACTACTAAAAGAATTTGAATATTTTAAGGATGAAGGATGGCTAGGTATCATGGAGCTGAGTTAGATTTTTTTTTAAATTACAGTATACAATATAAAGTCATAATAGAGTGCATTGCAGTTGAGACCATTTAAGGGTGGTGATCAGAAATTAAGGATAAAGTTGATTTCTGGTAATGCGATTGCATTGTGAAAGAAAATGTGTGGAATGGATCAGAAAAAGTTGATCATGTAGCATGTAAGTATTGGTGTGTACTGCAAGGTATTGGAGTCATCAAAATCATACATGTAATAAATTTGGCCCAGTCTTGGTAAAGTAACAAGCACTGTACACAGAAAGATGTATATGGAACTACACAAATGGTGCTACTAACCTTGATTTTCTTATCTTTCTATGCTCATTACTCAGCCAGTACACATTTTCTACCAAAATTGTTTGGCAAATGACATTTATTTGTAATCTTGATCATTCGGTGTAAGTTTCGTTTTATTCTGTGAGAATTAATTTTCCTTTTTTTTACCAGAACTCAACTTTATCTTTAAAATAATCATGTTTATTTTGTACTTGCAGGCAGCGTTCTTCCAGACGGATAACATCATCATGACCATGGGCTCGGACTTCCAGTATGAGAATGCTAACGCTTGGTATAAGAACCTTGACAAGCTCATCAAATATGTCAATGCGAAGGTGAGCTGTGCCACATTATAGTTATCATGGGATAGATATACCGGTTCTAGGACACCTTCCCCCTGGACATCCACCCCCGGTTAACCACCCCTAGACAACTACCCCCGGAAGCCGGACAACTAACCCAAGACAACTACCCCATAGGACAACTCCCCCCTAGGACAACTACCCCCCAGACAACTACCCCCAGACAAGTTACCCTAGGACAACTACCCCCTAGACAACTATCCTAGGGGGTAGTTGTCCCAGGGGGTAGTCGTCTTAGAGGGTGGTTGCCCTAGGGGGTAGTTCGTCGTAGGGGGTAGTTGATTGGGGGTGGTTATCCCGGGGGGGGGGGGGGGGGGGGGGGGGGGGTGGATGTCCAGGGGGTAGGTGTCTGAATACCAGATATACCAAAGGCTTCAAGATTATTTAACCGTTTCCAGTGCAAGATTAATCTATACCAGTGCTAAAAGGGTAGTCATGAAGCTGACCAAGATGCGAAACAGGTCATTTTGTAAAGCCATTTGTGTTACATAGGGCAACCCTTACGTCAGTTGGTGCCTATTGTTACGTGCAAAATTGCAATTCTGGTTCGCGCATGCGCACATTGTTTTTTGGCTTGCGTTACGTTATCTGTTATTTGACGTTACTTATAAGTAATATCCATTATCAAAATTTTAATCTTTCGTAATCTTTTTTTTCTTCTTTCTCAATCAGGAGGAGGAGTCAGGCATCCACCTTCTCTACTCCACTCCGTCCTGCTATGTCTCCAACCTGAATGCGGCAAACAAGACTTGGACTACTAAGAAAGAGGATTTCATGCCGTATGGTGATGCCCCGCATAACTTTTGGAGCGGGTATTTCGTGAGCCGCCCGTCGATCAAAGGATACGTGAGGGAGTCGAACAATATCCTCCAGGTACTAAGAATGGAAAATGTTATTTGTATGAAGGGTTTTGAGCCAACCAGCACAATCAGTGAGTCTTATGCTTTTTGAAAAAGTACCTGGATGACCGTGCAAATTTAAAACCGTATCTCATGGTTTGTGAAAAAATACCTGGATGACCGTGCAGTACCGGTATTTATATAATATTGGATGGCTTTGAGTGTGTTACAAGAATACGTTGCTTGAGCTATGACAATATTAAACTAGTCGGAGACAAGTCCAATAATGTTTCACACAAAAACAAAGCTATTAATATTATTATCTATATAAGGCTGACTATCGAAATAACAAATTTTGACTTTAATACCACAATGAATATGGCTTTTTTTGTGTGTGTGATATCGAAATCGATAGTTGAAGTTACCCGATGACTGAGCAAAAGAAAACAATATTGGTCACTTGTCATCCGAGTACTGTGCTAAAGATATTGAATACCGGTACACTGATTTATTGTACTACTTGAAAGCCTTATAATAATTCTCCATATCTCATGGTTTGGGGTGCGTGTACCCATAATAAGAGAATACATATTTAAATACGCAGAGGCTAAGACAATGGATATTTGCGCGATCATATAATATTGAAAGACTTTTCTTTTGTGAGATACAATGCTATATCCCCTCATTTTGACATTATTTCAGTCGTTGTTCTGACTCATGAAAATTGCTAATTAGCTCTTGGAATATATCCTTCTATCCCACTCTCGGCCATTTGATATTATTCAAATACAGATTCTATCAATACCATATAAATATGGATGGAACTTCAATGACAACATCATGACATCATGACACAAACAATTCAAGTTTTTGTATATGTATCTTTCAAGTGTATTGTCTTCATGGCCTCTCGAATACCTGTCACAAATTTGACTAACATTCAATCGCAAAAATCTATCCTATCTCAATTCTTGCTGCAATGAATCGTATCTTACCATGCATTGTACCTATCTGTAATATAAAATTAATTGCAATTTTAATTTATTGTAAAGTTTTGGTTGATTGAAGGAGATACCCGGGTTTGAAACCAAGTCGATGCGCTAGTGCCCTTTGGTAAGGCAGGCATTAATCCTCATTAGCAAGCCCCTTGGAGAAGACTTAAAGACGTCGGTCCCCTGGTTGCTTACTTAAAAGTAGACACATGCTTTCTTAGCAGTCAAGTAAAACAAACAAACAAACTGCTTATAAAACATATTTTAACAATTTCTTTTTTCTTCAAGAAGTTTTGTTTTGTTATTTTTCTAAACTTGTCTATGTTTCTGATCTTTCTTCCACTCAGGTGTGCAAGCAGTTAGAGTGTCTCAAGACTACCAAAGCATCGTCAGAAAGACTGAGTAAGTAGAAGAAAACAAACACAACAAAGATCTTTATTTTTAATCCCCAGGGAGCAGAGCGTGTGCACTATCAATATTCATGTCTCAGTTGGTAGAGCAGTGGTCTCGTAATCCAGTGACCCGGGTTCGAAACCAAGTCGATGCGCTAGTGCCCTGTGGTAAGGCATTAATCCTCATTACCAGGTCCCTCGGAGAGGACCTAAAGCCGTCGCCGTCTGGTTGCTTACTTACAAGTATTTATGCTTTCTTAGGAGTCTGGTAAAGTAACCACCAATAACCAAGATTAGCAATTGAATCAAATGACCGGGTTGATAACAGTTTCAATGTTAAGAGCTTAGAAACGTAGGTAGCAATTACAATGTAAAGCGTTTAGAAATGTAGTAATAGGCGCTATACAAATGTGACGACTATCATTTTTTAGTTTTCGTCTATTGAAAATTTGGCTTAATGCTTGTATTGCTTGGTGGTCACGCAATATTGTTGTGCAAGAAACTTTCAAGAAGTCCTTCTGAGTGATTGGTCATGTAGTATAAAATAGGAACAGCTTTTGTGCTGTTAGACTACACTGTGGAATCCTCCAAAGTTTAGAAAGTGGCTAGATTTAGACGAAAATCACAAACACTTAAAAGTACTACACACAGAGAGTAGTATTGGGGACTGCACAAACATCTTGCATCAGAATATGGTGTACATGTAGTTTATTTCTAGTCCTATTTGAATGAAGGTTAATCCTTTTGTGAGGACATTTCTATGAGTACTGTGAGATTCTGCAAAAGGGGAACGGAAAGAGTGAGTTAATCTCAAGAAGTATCTTTCACTTTTACCAGTACTGAACCTTCTCTTTGACTTTTTTCTGCTGGATGGAGAGAGGGAGGGGAGGGGAGGGGTGCCAGTTTTCAGGCAATAGCCTGAATTCAGGCCTGGTGAGTTATTTTCAGACCATACTTTAGGCTTTTGTGTACAAAATACCTCATTCTAGGTGATTTTTAGGCCCTCTGATCAATTCTAACTGGTATCAGAGGAAGGGGGTTGGTGAGGAATTATATTGCTGCTTTAATAGGGTTTGTTCTTTGAAATTCTGAATAGCTGTAATTTGATTTTGTGATCGATTCTCTTAAACCAGGAGAGGCTATGGCTATTGCCCAGCATCATGATGCCGTAACGTGAGTAGAACACCGCAATCACTTTATGGATTTATTTGTATTTTATAGTAACAGGATCCATAGTTTAAAAAACAATGACGGTGTAATAAACTTGTTTTTTTGAAAGCATGAAAATACAGATAGAAGGTGTAGAACAAACAAGAAAAACTTACCAGTATAATAAATAATTATATAGAATTGTATTTATACATTGATTTTGAACATGAAAAGAGTTTTTAACATGATTACGAACTTGTGAGGTTTACATTATAGCAATCATATCTCACCCATTTTCAATAAAGTTTGTTTGTGCAGGCATCCAGAATATATTGTAATACAGGAACATGATTATTAATTTTCTATGGCCCAAATAAAAAAAAAGGAGGTTTAAATTTAAAACCCATGGTCTAAAATTAGCGCAAAATAAGTGCGACACAGTCAGAGGTCCAATATTAGACGCGCGCAAGGCAAGGTACCCTTAATTTTCGCTAATTTCAAACCATGGGTTATGTAATTGAGGATTTAAACCATGGTTTAAACTTAAACCTACTTTTGTGATTCGGGCCTATGGGTTTCATTTTCTAAAAAGCAGCAGTTTCCTTCACTCTACATTTGTTAAACCGTTGACTACTGAATTCTCCAATTCCCATTGCCTTCATACAGGGACCATCCAGTTCCCATACATGTAGGTAATGGGTTAAGCTCCAAAAACAGATCCACCCCCCCCCTTAATATACAGAAGTGTAAATCTTGCATTTGATTTCTATTGTATTTCCAGTGGTACAGAGAAGCAGCATGTTGCAGATGATTATGCCAAAAGGCTCTCCATGGGACGGGTTCAATGCCAGGTGAGAATGGTTGGAGTGTTGATCACAATTTTTTTTATGATGATCACAGGGTTATTTTCAAGTTTCAAGTTTATTTAATTCCACTTTATCGAAAATAACATAATTGAACATAATGTTAATGGTAATAATTATAACTAAGCATACAATATAGGAACATAATGTACATGGCAATATTTATGACAAAAGATACAATCATAAGTATGATAAATACATTGAAAAAGCTAAATAAAGTAGGGGATCTACTAAAAAACAAAGCATGTATTATGTAAGGCCCAATTAATAGTTGTGTAATGGGTATATAAATTAGGATATCTGAATAAACATAAGGTATTTACGAAAGCATACGATTATGCGAGGGCTATGTATTTTACTAAACAAAGCGTTAACATTTGTGAAATAAGGGAAAAGTTCTGTGCTTTCCTCAGCATAACCAAATGTTTATAAATTAAATAAAAGGATCAGTGCTTATTTTAGCACTACTTTTGAGGCTATTCCTCACAAGCATTCTTTCATATTTTGGTCCTTTCCATATTCCATACTGTATTTTGTATTATTGTTTGTATGTTTTTATGGTTATGGTTAAATAAAATATCTTGAATCCTGCATCTTGAATCTTGAAACAGTTGTTGACATTTACTATGTAAGTCAACCGATGTTCCTGAGATAATTTGTTGCTGCAGATCCCATCTATCAAAACAAAATAGCGCTAGGTGATCGAGCATTTGCTTGTGCAGCCCCAAAACTCTGGAATAACTTGTCATTTGAAGTCAGGAAATCACCATCTGTAAATATCTTTAAGTCAAAACTGAAAGCACATATTTTTAATTAACTGTAAATCTAAGCATATCAGGAGCTCTTGTTGCGCAGTACATCATATACTTAATGTTGGATAGTTTCTGCGCTCTATAAATATATTATTATTATTATTATTATTATTCAGTTATTTTTCTTTACTTGGTACAGGCGTTGATCAGCGAAGCCATCTCAAGCGATATTTCTCAGAAAACTGGTTTCAAGATGGATGCTACTACGTCTGATCATTGTAACTACGCCAACATCAGCATCTGCCCAACCTCCGAAACCCAGAATTCCGTAAGTCTTCAAGGATTCGTTATTATTATCCATATTTTTATAGTTGCTTATTATATTGACACATGAAATGAAATTTATATACAAACTGAACATAATGTGGATCATCAGAGCTGCCAAGTCTCCCGGATCCTGCGGGAGACTCCCGGATTTTGACCCAATATCCCGTTTTCCCGACCCCATGCAAAAATCTCCCGGATTTCCAGATTTTAAGTTGTATTATTTTCATAAACGACTGTTTCACAAGACTAGCATGTTGAGTTCGTACGTACGTATACAAACACACGGCAATTCTGTAATATGAATTTTCCTGTTATCCAGTCGTCGAATATAAATTTACCGTGATATCGTACTTTATTTAACAGCGTAATAAATGAGAGTTACGCCGAACGACTGGCGGGCTAATCTAACAAACCATTGGGAACATGTGATAATGTGAGTGGTGTTTGTGTGATAGCAATTCGCCTGCTTGCTCTGCCGGGCGGCTTCCTCGCCGGCCCCCGTAGCGTCCCGGTACGTTGGTGCCGGTTTCCGATCGGTCGCGTCAGAGCAGCCAGAAGTTGCACTGATACAACAAGCAGACTTTGTCTGCTGCGATCGGCCCAAAAAACTGCACATTTCAACATCAGTTTTTGGATTGATTTGGGGACTTTTGCGATGTGATTTTTAAGTGGATTATCATTTGATACCAACATGGCAGTGTTACTGCAGAGTGGATTTTGAAGCCGACTTTTTTTTTCTGATCTCCTTTGCCGTTGGGAACGCATCGATATAACTTGCATCTTCCGAAGGCGTAAGTCAACTTTGTCCAAAACAAGGCTGTATTTTGCTCTCTGTTTGAGTATTAAAATATCATCCAGGACAATGTCGAAGTCGAAATATTATCAGAAATATAAAGATGACTACCACTTGGAATGGCCTTGTGTTGGGAAATCTACGAAAGGCGAATACTACAATACCAGGTTGAAGACTTTTCAGGGGAACCAGAGATCCTGAACAAAAACTTGAGAATAGACAAGAAATGGTCTGCAATTTCAAAGATGGAGGATGGCAATGGCTCAAAGAAATACACACTTCTGAGCAAAGTGATGAAATCTTTGCTTGTGATACCACATTCCAATGCTTCATGTGAAAGAGTTTTTAGCATTGTTAGGAAGAACAAAACTGATTTCAGGGGATCAATGAATTTGAAAACACTTCAAGCACTCCTAACAGAGAAAATTGCCAACACAGATGTCCCATGCTACCAAAGGGAGTATAGCAAGGACCTCCTTAGCAAACTCAAGCAAGCAACCTACCAGTCACTTCAAGGAAAACCCTCAAGCACACCCCAGTCCTTGCCTTCCACAAGTACATCCCCCATTTCACAATAGAGGTAACAGGAGTTCATAGTCTGAAATATGATGTGAAGTTCATATGTTATCAATTGTATGCAAATAAAATGTGCCATATCAAAGCCTTCCATTTTGAGAAATCATTGAAAAAATGTGTTCTAAAAGGGTTTCAAAGAGGCTTAAAACCAAGAGCTTTTGGGGGCCTGCCCCCTGCCCCCCCCCCCCCACCAGGGGCACTAAAAGGCCATTCTTGGTTCCCGCCAACAATGAAGTCGTTCGATGCTGCTCTCTCAGAAATCTCCCTGATTACCCAAATCAAATGTTGGCAGCTCTGGATCATTATTAGTTTTCAGTTCTTTAGACATAAATATTATAAATCTTGTGACAAGAACCTTAAAAACTAAACTAAAAACAGCAACATGAAGGAATAGGATTTGTTATTATTATCCATACTTTTATAGTTGCTAATTATATTGACACATGAAATGAAATTTATATACAATAAATGAAATTTATATACAAACTGAACATAATGTGGATCATTATTAGTTTTCAGTTCTTTAGACATAAATATTATAAATCTTGTAACAAGAACCTTAAAAACTAAACTAACAACATCAACATGAAGGAACAGGATTTGTTATTATTATCCTTATATTTATAGTTGCTAATTATATTGACACATGAATTGAAATTTATATTCCAACTGAACATAATGTGCATCATTATCAGTTTTTTAGGTGATACACAAGGAAATGGATTTGGTAAGAATGTCCTTTTAAAGATACTATGTTCCTTTTGCAGCCAACATCAAATTCTGTAGAACTTTGCAGGAATTATGAATATGTCATGTATGTCCTATCTGTGAAATTTAAACGTTAGCAGTGTTCTTATATTCAAATTATGCAAGGAAACCCGTTAACTTGCTAGACTTCACTGTCAGACACTATTGAGTGACTGACTGGCTTTTTTCTTCTTTGGTAATAACATACATAAAATGAGCTGTAAAGGGTACATGAGCATTTGTCTACATCAATAACGCACTTCTTGGAAAAATTGCCAAAATTTAACTGATTAAATCTTTGCGCAGCATAAAATGTACGACCATTCGGTACAATGGTCTGAAAATCAGACTATTACTTACTGGCTCTATAGCTCTTAAGTCGATTCAACAACTAATGGTCGTTATTTTCCCACTTGAAAACGTTTTCAAGCCCCCTTTTTTTAGAGAAGTTCTCAATTAGCATTTACTATCAAATGCTGTTGGAATTTAACCTTTTCATTTTTTGGGCCTGCAAATGGGACATAGTACCTTTAAAGAGAAACTACATGTAGTTAATCCAAAACCCCATTACGGACCAGATTTGGTTTTTCCCAATTAGTTTGAAAATTATATGAGTTCAGAATACAGCTTCTGCGGAATTTTTCTGGCGAGATAAATGTATTTTACCCACTAGATTCATTGCATTTCTTTAATATGGAATTCCCATTTTGTTGAACATTATCATGAGATTTATCTCTGTGAATAGTACCCAAGTCATAAATATTATGTTTTTTATATTTTCCCAATGACTTTGGCATTAGTTCACGGTAGTGGTGTACAACCCTATCGCACGCTCTGTGACGTCACCGATCAGACTTCCAGTCAACCAGGCTACTTACACCGTCATGGGCCCTAATGGAACAACGGTCTCCAGTCAGGTAATCACACAACGATTTCTTGTTCAAGATTCAAGATTCAAGGTCTTGTTCTGATTTGAGCTTAAACTATGGAGAGAAGTAATGAATAATTCAGGGTTTCCATGGTTTATGGAAAAAAGCGGAAAAGTCATGGTAAAAAAGATTCTTCTGGAAAGTCATTAAAAACGATTCTTAAAATCTCCCAAAGTGATAGAAAGTCATGGATATTGTGAAGGGAGGCTAAGACCATCACAAAGATGAGATAATGTTTGTCACTGCGTGGTATCCGTACACTGCTTGGATGCCGCAACCCATACCAAAAAGGTACTTATCTGGTCATGGAAACTCGGTCATGAACAGTCAAGGAAAGTTGTGGAATTCGATTCTCAAATTCCTGCGGGAACACTGATCTGTATTCACTGGCCCAGAAAATGCCAGTTGTAAACCCGGGAATAAGGAATATTTAGTGAAGGGATGTTTCTCATATTTTTTGTTTTGATTATTGTTAAGATTCTAGATGTGACGGCAAGCACTAAGAGCGTGAGAAGGGATAAAAGGACTATTCAGTGAAGGGATGTTTTTCATATTTTTTGTTTTGATTATTGTTTAGATTCAAGATGTGACACCAGCCACTAAGAGCGTGAGGAGGGAAATAAGGAATATTAATAGTGAAGGGATGTTTTTCATATTTTTTGCTTTGATTATTGTTTAGATTCAAGATGTGACGGCAAGCAAGAGCGTGAGGAGGGAAATAAGGCATATTTAGTGAAGGGATGTTTCTCATATTCTTCGTTTTGATTATTGTTTAGATTCAAGATGTGACAGCAAGCACTTAGAGCGTGAGGAGGGAAATAAGGAATATTTGGTGAAGGGATGTTTCTCATATTTTTCGTTTTGATTATTGTTTAGATTCAAGATGTGACGGCAAGCAAGAGCGTGAGGAGGGAAATAAGGCATATTTAGTGAAGGGATGTTTCTCATATTCTTCGTTTTGATTATTGTTTAGATTCAAGATGTGACGGCAAGCACTAAGAGCGTGAGGAGGGATAGAGGGAGCGCTACTAAGGAACTCATCTTCATGGCAACCATACCGCCAATGGGATACACCACATACCAAGTCACTGCACCTTCAATGAGTAAGAGGATTTGGTATTTGGTTGTGTTTGTTTGTAATTAATTGCTATTGCATTTTCTTCTGACTTTTACTCTTTTCCTGCCATAATGAATACAGCCCAGTGCCACAGGGCTAATCCCCATTGTGCCAAGCCACAAATCCCCCCTGTGCCAAGTGTATTTTGAGATAATCTGATGGTGCGAATAATAGCGCTTGAGAAGCACTCGGCACAGTACAATGATCATGAACAATGAATGCTATTACGAATGCAAGCATGCATGCATAAAGCAGCTAAGCTGAGGCTCGATCGCATGAATTAAGCAGCCAATCGATAGCGTGTACAAAGCACTATAACGGTAGCGTGCATCCGGCCTTATGGCAGGATATGAGTTAATAAATGATGATGATGACATGCGGAAGGGGGAACTAAACATGGAATTCTAGGTCTCAAAAATATTTCCAATAACTTAGGAGTATGTTTGGACTCAATATGAAATAATAGATACAGCTATATTGTAAATGCATTACTGATAGTAGTTTTTAGAGCCAGAAGGGCATTAACTCTGTGTTATTAAATTGAAATTTGTTCATAACATGGCTTTCAGAAAACAAAACATTATTTTTGTCATGACAATCCATTACCATCTATTCCCTCCCAGATATGATATCCCGTCTCGGGGCGATTCGTCACAGCCGTCCAGCCACAACTATCAATAGGGTAGATGGAGATGTGATAATATCCAATGAGGTGAGTGACACCCTGTTTCAAGGATAGCGTGGCTATGAGGCCTAACAAAAGATGTATTACCCTTTAGGTGCCAAAACATGGGTCGGTCTGTCGAGACTTTACTCCCTTTTTGGGCTGATATTTAATATACTTTAATACATTTTTTTCCTAAAAAACGGTTAAAAAAACTTGTTTTAAAAGCCGACCGTAGATTTCAAGATACAACATCTTTTTTTTGTACGCCTTAGTCATGACCACCTGATGACTGAGCCATACAATACTTTGATTATAAACCCTACCGTAATTAGATTTTGACAAAAAGATCTACATTTCAATGGGGTAGATAAAATTACTTTGATTAAATATAGAGAAATTAAGGAAATGATCAAAACATTTTTGTAGGAATTTACATTATTGAAAAGAATTTGTAACTTTTTTGTCGATCGTATTTGTAGTTTATGATAAAGAATTAGATGGGAACACTGGCCATTTAAAGTTTAACATTTTTTACAAATACTTCAAACAAATTTAATGAATCTATTCAAAGTGCGAGATTTTTTTCTTTTCAACAATAATTTTCTAATTCTTGACACTGATCATTTGATGTCCGATGAGAGTTTCAGGAAGTTTGAAGTAACAATGACAATTGTTACAATTTTATACCATTTAGTTTCTGAGTCTCAGGTTTGATGGAAACACTGGTGTTTTGAGATCAATGACCACCTTAGGGTCTAACATTAGCATTCTCAGCAAATGAACAATGAGAAATGCTTCAATCTTTATTCATTTAGTTCATGATCCTGAGCTTTGCTGGAAAGACAGGCTCTTGAAATCAAAAACCAAATTGACATCAAACACCAACATTTTTTTGTCACATCATTATTTTTTATAATTCAAATGATTGAAAAAAATTATAATGATAAATTCTTTAAAAAAATAAATATTACCTGAATTATCTATTTTCTAGATCCTGAGTCTGAGCTTTGATGGAATCACCGGCCTCTTGAAATCAATGACCAACTTGGGGTCGAACATCAGCAACATTATGACCCAGTCTTTCTACTGGTACGAATCCAGCACAGGGAACAACGTCTCGATACAAGGCTCGGGGGCCTACATCTTCCGACCTAACAAATCGGTCCCATATCCTCTGTTTGATGGGACGTCGGTGCTGGTTAAAGTGGTCAAGGTAATAACAGTCTTCTTCTTTCAGTCGGGTAGCGCTAGCTGCGCTGCTGTGACCATCACAAGTTTATGCCATCCTTCTCTTGTCTGCTGTCGCTCTTGGTGCCTCTGACAGCTTTTTCCCTGTCCATGTGTGGATGTCTTTCAACCAGGATATAGCAGGTCTGCCTCTTTTTCGCCTGGCTTCCACTATTAGATAATAGTATAAAGGTGATAATAATAATGATAATAATAATAGTAAATCTGGATTTATTGAGATAAATTTATTTGTAACAGGTAAACAAAATGATTTGTATGAGGTGCTTCACAAAGGCATACACATACATTTGGTTACGTTACAATAACGAAAATGGCCTATTGGTTGAAGAAATTACTTAACACATCCTAGAAATGAATGAAAACAAGGCAAGATGAACACAAAAAAATAATTTGTATCCTCCTTTTTTTTTCTCAGGGTGATGTAGTACAAGAGGTTCAACAGCAGTTCACACCTTGGTTGAGCCAGGTGGTCAGACTATACAAAGGTCAAAGTGCAGCAGAGTTCACATGGACGGTTGGCCCTATCCCTATTGGGTAAGTAGAGGTGTTTTGGTCTCGTGGTTAAGTGACCGATCTATTGATAATGAGGTACCGGGTTCAAATCCCTGTCATAGCACTAATGACCTAGATCTAGACATCTACATTGGCCACTTCGACCTAGATGAAGTAGATGTTAACTAAACCCACTTACTACTGACTTTTTATTATTCATGTAGACTTGCACGGGGACAACCGGGTTCCTGTTGCCAGTGGGTTAATAGAGTAATAAATCCCAACTACGACATCATCTCGAGAATAATAATGCCAACAAAAAATCATTTAAACTAAATTATTTGAAATCCTCACCAAGAACTTTGAATTCGTGAAACATAGAGATCTGCCCAGCAGATGCAGGCACTGGCACAATACAAGAAACACTCAACATCATTATCATATCATCCATTGTCTATGGAGGTGACTAGATGTCTGATGCAATATAAGTGCAGGATATAAATTAAGTTGTCAATGATGATGACATTGAGAATATTTCTAGTATGATTTGTATGTCTAGTTTTTTAGTTTAGCGCAAACGAAGTGGCACAAGAAGGACATGTCCAGAACGCAAAATACGTAATATTTATTTTGAAATTTGTCATTTTCTCTTTCTCTCTCTCTCTCTTTCACTTTGTATTTCTTTCTCTCTCTCACACTCTCTCTTTCTCTCCCTCTTCCCCCTCTCTCTCTCCCTCTTTCTCTCTTTTTCTCTGTCCCCCCCCCCCTCTCTCTCTCTCTCTCTCTCTCTTGTTTTTCCTTTTCTTTCTTTTCCATTTTACTTTCCATTTCTACCATTTTTCATTCTCCACCTCCTCCTTTTCTTCATCTTAGTGATGGTTTGGGCAAGGAGATCATAACACGATTTGACACCAATATACAGTCGGGTCAGACGTTCTACACGGACTCCAATGGTAGACAGATGATGAAAAGAGTGTAAGTTCACCAGCTTTTATGTTTATCATGATAATAATAATAATCATTGGATTTACTTAGCGCTGTCCCATTAGTCAATCAACAAAATAAGAAGAATGGTAGAATTATGTTTTCAGATGTTTTTGGAAGAAGTCAAGTGAAATGCTATTTCTTAGAAATGCAGGGAGTTCATACCATAGGCATCGAGCAATCATCATCATCATTACTTTCATTACTTTCATCAGTACTATCATCATTTGAATCACTTTGAGGTTACTATGTGACTGGTTTGTAAAAAATGTTACACTTAGAAAGTCTTTAGATAACACCTACCCTTTATTCAGACGACAATTGAGCAGGCCTTAGTGGTAGAGCCATGGCCTTGTAACTGGGAGGTCCTGGGTTCAAAATAAAGTTGATAGGCGAGTGCCCTTTGATAAGGCATTAATCTTCATTACCAAGTCCCTTGGAGAGGACTTAAAGCCCTTGGTCCCATAGTTGCTTAAGTACTTGCACGCACATGCTTTCTTATCAGTCATGTTAAACAAACAAAACCAAACCATTAATCATCAAACAGACCCAAACTGTATACACATTAGGTGTATAAGTTCGAGGTAAAATGTGTTTGAAATAGCTTTATTTCTCAGTATGTTTTTGAATGCCCAAACGTACTATCTAGTGTAGGAATAACATGTACATTGAAATTAAATCATTAAACATTGTATTGTGCCAGTATGTGTGTAGCTACTTCAAAATGTGGTATTCATGTTATTTAATTTTCATCCAATTCTTTTCTTTGTGTGTGTGTGTAAAGTCTGTATCAACGGGAAGACTATCCATATGTCAACAGCGAACCAGTTGCAGGCAACTACTATCCAATTAACAGTCGGATCATCATCAATGTAAGTACCAAATGATCTGCTACCTCCTAAGTTTTAAATTGTGAGAGTATATTTAGACAAATGTTTTTTCTAATGGAGATCTTTGTCAATACAAGTATTTGGCTGTTTGTGTCTCTTATTTTTAACATTTTAATCTTCCCTTTTCATTGTTCGTGATATAAGCAAGATTTTAAAGGGGCTGTAGCATGTATATACTGGTCAACGCCATCTACCACTCCTTTTGGACAACTGCACGTAAACGAATGGACTTGATTAATTGGGTCAGCGCACGCTAGCATTCGCGAAAGGGCGCGAAACAGACCAAAATTCTCCTCATGCTTCGGTTTTGTGTATGTAACACAAACATGAATACTGCGTTCGCGTCCTCCGTAGTCGAATATACCTGATTGGCCCCGAGTCAGGCCACTGGAAAGACAAGTAGTCTCATCATGATACAGCCCCTTTAACGAGCAACAAATTTCATGCTTCCTAAACTCATAGTAGATCTATGAAATAATTCAAATTTTTTTCTCGTCATATTTCAAATGTGAGGGCATTTAAAAAGCAACCCTTGTCAGGGTACATTCCTTCTATGATATTTATTCCATAATAACATAGAAATAATAAGAGAGCACAAATTATTTTTCATCTTTACCAACTAGAACTCGACCTTCTCTATCATCTTTAACCCTTTTGCGACGATCATTCTCCAATTTGTGGTTAATTGGCTCAATACGTTGATTCAGATCCCTAAAAAATATGCCACATGCATGGGTAGAAAGGGCACAAATTTCTGCACACACAGCATCCATTTTTGTTTCATGACTATACTGCGTTTGGCGCTAGGAATTTTGAAAAGGAAAATAAGTTTTATAATCCTTAAAATGGCAACATGTTGAGAGATTCAAAGTCATTGTTTTTCTATATATCAAAACTGGTAATTTTTTTTAATTTTCAACAACATTCTCGCCCATATATATTTTTTATCAGAAATATCAAATATTATTTGAGCAATGTAGCAATAAAAGGAAAAATATAATTGTTGCTAATTTGAAGAATAATGTGTGATCAATCCAGCCCTAAATATAAATCCATTACTGTTGAAAAGGTTAAATCAGTTTTTTTTTATTGATTTTGTTTTAATGTTTTTTTTCTAGGATACCATGTCTCAGTTTACAGTCATGACGGACAGATCACAGGGGGGAAGCAGTCTCAGCAATGGCTCGGTTGAAATTATGGTGAGTGAAAAATGTTTAACAGAGTCAGTTTTCATCATTAAAATGTTAAAGATAAAGTTGAGTTCTGCATGGTCATGCAATTGTATTGTGAAAGAAACGTTGTGGAATCAATCAGAAAAGGTTGATTATCTAGCATTTAAGTATTTTGATCATCTAGCATATAAGTATTGGTTTGTCCTGGCGAAAATCATCCAACGACGATGGAAAAATTATGAAGAAATGTCAAATCTTTTATTAACTGGGTATTCCATAGTGCTGAATATTTATCATTCATTATTATTTCTGTAAAGTATTATTTTTTCCAGCAACAACCAGTACAATACATGTATAATATTGTTATTATTATTTATTTTTTCTCTTCATGCATTTTTTTAACTGGTCATCAACTCAATTTTATTTTGCTTTGGAAGCATTATTCACTTGTCAAAAAGTGTACACATGTATGGGCCAATTTAGAGTTTGCACGGAGTGAATATCTCTGTTTTACAGTGCTTTTTTTGTTGTTGCTTGACCAGAATTTTGTTTTAATGAATCATAACTTTTTAAATATCCCATACTGTCTTTCATTTCAGATTCATCGTAGGATTCTTAAGGATGACAATCGGGGCGTCGGTGAACCTCTGAACGAGACTGGCCAGTTTGGTGACGGGCTCATGGTCCGAGGAACCCATACCGTTTCCTTGGCGACGCCCAAGAAAGCTGCCTACATCCAGCGTATACTTGGGGAGGAAATCTACATGAAGCCATATTTCTATGTCTCCACGGCAATGGGAAACCAGTCTCCAGTATCTGTAAGTCTCCTCCTTTCTCTCACTCTTATCTCACTCTTCTCTCAATCCATCTTTATTACTTGCTGTCCTTTTTTCCCATTATTTTCTTCTTCTATTCTTTGCAATTCCTCCTATCTATTTCCCTCTATCATCACAATGAATAGGCGTGCCATTTTCTTCTTCAAATACTCATTTCCTCATTATAATTGTGATTAATATTCAGATCAAATTTTTTTATTTCTACATTTTTATATCAAAAGCCATATCTCTATTAAAAAAGAAAAAAAGCATGGACTGAGTTTTTCTTGACTGCAAAGTACAAATTTGCCTATTTTTGGGGGGAAAGAGATATCTATACATTATTTTTTTATATCTGAACCTTTCAGTAATTAACCTATTAAAGGCCAGCTGTACTAGTTTGGCCAGGAGGGATTAGACCACACAGCGTGGTCAATGACAGCTGGCTATCTCATCAACTCAGCTCTCAATTAACATAAGAAAAAAAGGATTAGGCATTGTTTTCTATATAGAGGGAGCAAGTAGCTACAAGTAGGACAGTTGGGCTTTAAAGAATTAACTGCTAACAATTGTTTATCTTTAAAAAAAAATGTTGATCATTTATTCTTGATTTATCTGCAGTCGTCTTTCATCAGTCAAGCTCTTCCAGCCAATGTTCACCTTCTGACGCTAGAGCAGCTCAAACCAAACATCCTCCTCCTAAGGCTAGAGCATCAGTTTGAGGTCGGAGACGACAAAGCTTTCTCCAAGCCTGTCACAGTTTCTCTTAGGGTAAGAATAAGGTCATAGGTCACATCGTCTGTTCAGAGCCAGAAGGGTGTTAAATGTTTGTTGAAGTATTTGAGTTAACTACCTTCTGGCCCTAAACAGATGATATCTGGATTATCCGGACTGGTGAGTCCTGGGGACAGATTCCATCCAGTACAGGGATTAAGCCAGCATTTTATCCAGCATTTGTCATGGTAAGGTAAAATGTCTGAACTCGTACTCAGATTACATCCATGCATTTTACTTTAGCAAGATGGCTTTGAGGCAAAACACTGACTGACAAGCATTGTGACGTCACATGATCAATCCAAAATAATGCGCAATTGAACACATCGCATTAAATGTGCACTATTGTAATGGTGCTCAACTTGTGTTGACTGCATATGATAACCTAATGCCTACCAATCAAGGCCTGCACAAAAATTGTGCTAGGGAGCTGTTTCAAACGTAGGATAAAATATGTAGACAAAAGCATCAACTGAATACTGTAGTTGGCTAACTAACGTATCTCAGCTGAAAAAGTGAGTAAAATACTCATATTTCTGACATGTATGATTCTGGTTTGGGGTAAGAAAGGTCCCAGGTTCAATTCCTGGACAAACCCCCATACTTACTAGTCATATAGAGCTGTTGAATCAAGAGAAATACACTGTAACACAAAAGAGGATATCCTAGCACATAGATTGCTTGTATCTGCTCCGAACCCCCTGATCCCTATCCTCCGCCATAGACCTTCAAAAATTATTCCAAACCCATACCACCTGAGTACCGGCCCATAACCACAATTTCTAAACTTTTCTCAACTAGTCAGTAAGTTGGCTCATGTAAATTCATTAATACATGTAAATGTATATAAACCAGGGTCTTTTAACACCAGGTCAATTACCATTCATCTTTAGCCTATCTAGTATTTTGGTCTATAGAGCACGTCTCTTTTTGAAGTTACAGGCATTTTAATGGTAACAACCGTCTGCTAGGCCGAGTTCCTCTAACACAGTGTTGTGGAGCAGGACGAATATGACCAGTTGTCTCATGCTCTATGAATTCATTCTTGATGCAGGATCTGTTCAAACCCTTTGGAATATCTGATGTCGAGGAGCTATCCCTATCAGCCAACCAGGTCTTGAAGAGTGTCGATCGTCTTCAGTGGAAAATTGAGGGCAGTTCCACCACAACCCCACAAGGTTCGTTAACAGTACCATAGTCAACCGTGACTATCATTTAGATTATTGTAACAAATTGTACTCTGGCTAACCGAAATCCACCATTTCTCCACTTCAGCATATTCATCACCCAAACTCCTGTTCTTAGATCTCTTCGTTAGCTACTTGTTTTAATTCACATTCAGTTTAAGATTCTTTTGATAATATTCAAAATTAAACTTGAGTACCGTATCCTCCATCATATTTAAACGACCTTCTCAAACGTATTGTTCCATCACGTTCATTACGGTCAACTACACATGCTAATTTCCAATAAGCCACTGGTGTCCGAATCAATACCCGTTACGCTGATCATGCTTTTGCTGTTGCAGCCCCTAAATTATAGAATATTTAACCAATTAGTATCTGCTAATCCCCATCCGTAGAGTCGTTTAAGGAAACCTTGAAGAATCTCTTGTATAATAGTTATTTATAGGGCAGTTTTGTTTAAAGTAAGTTGCTTATTATCTGTAGTTTTTATTATTAGAATTACATGTATGTACTATTATTGTTGTATGTTTACTTTACGCTGTAACTTGTTTTGTTTAACGCTTTAGAAACATTGTATTAAGCGCTTTATAAATACAATTTATTATCATTATTACAATCATGTGTGTTTAGATGGAAAGTTAGTGGAAAATTGTATTTACTAGTTAACTTTACATGTACAATGTACGTAAACTAGTGCATATTATGCAATTTTTTTTCTTCTTCTGAAAGCATGGTACATATAGATTTATAAATGAATCCTGATTTATGAGTAATGTGTAATTTAATTTGAAAAAAAAAAGATTATTCTGATATTCATGTGAAAAGCATAAAGGTGAAAATAGTGAAAGTGTTGACCGGTAGTGTTAAAGATGAAGAGGACCATGGGAGTACAGAGAAACCTGTCTATAAAGACCACCCAAGGGAGACAAGAACAGTAGTCTTCATAGGCAGGTGGTCTTTGTAGACAGGTGCCTATTGTACATGTTTCAATGAGTAACCATTTTCAAGGGAAACAAAAAATGTGGTTTTTGTAGACGGGTGGTCACTAAAGCAGGTTTGACTGTACTACCAAACGCATGTATTCTATCTGAATGGTCCCATGTATTGATATTTGCGTCTGTTTAACTTTCCAGCTTTCAAACCCATCCCTGCGACAGCCCCAGACTTCAATGTGACACTCAATCCAATGGACATCAGGACGTTCAACGTTACGGTCAGCCGACACTGAGGATGCCTCCATTTTAGCTATATAAAGTAGATGTACTGCACTTGATTTCAGTAGATGCAAGAGTGTATCTTAGCAAAGTGTGCTGGTATGAAAACACACATCTGGAAGGGAAACTGCATAATTCTGTCACATAGAGTTAGAATCACATCTTAAAGGTATAGACCAGTTTTGGAAACGCCCTCCTCTCAAAAAATGAAATGGAAGTTCTTATTACCAATCATGTGAAAGAATATGTTTTGACGTGATGATACAAATGTTGCCGGGAAACCGCCTAAGGTAAACTATATAGATCCGGCCTGGATAGATATTACGATCAATGCACTTCAACATTGAACATTTGGGCATATATTTCTGCTTTTTTGCAAATTTAGGTTGAAGTATTGCCATCTAAACCTCTGAAGGTAATATTTAAACAATATTGAATGGAGATTGTGCACCCAAAACCCCTGAATTGCAATTTTATTGCTACCGGTCTTTACCTTTAAGAATATGGAACTGGTAAATAAGCTCACTCCCTCGATTATGTTAATATTACCGACACTTTCATTCAAATACATGTCACATACATATTATATCTTTTATTATATCTTTTATTATATCCTGCATCAAAAATTTGTTGGCTTTTGATTGGTTGAGAGCTCATCACATAACCCAAATATTTGACCTATTTTTAGAAAGTACTATATGAGAGTACTATTTTGGTTTACTATTCGGGAGTTTAAAAAAAAATGAGTGATTTTTTTTTTTTTTAATTGAATCAATTTTTTTCTTCAAATCTTAATTTAATGAAAATAAAATATTTTAAATCTTTTTAGATAAAAATTGTCATTTTTTTTTGTTCTAAATTCAATTTTTTTTTAAAATAATTTTTTTAAAAATAAATTTTTGATGCAGGATATAAAACAAATATACCATGCCTTCTATTCGAGGTACTGGTTAAACTATGGGCCTCGGTGACTCCAAAAGTACCATTTGCTTCGGGGCTGTGCCCCTCAGCAAGTAGTACTATTGGAGTCACCTCTTGCACATAGTTTTAACCAGAACCTCTCAAGGCAGTGTATATTTGTATACTAATTCAGCAACATCACTAGCTACATGTATGCCACCTGGTAATGGATGCCTCTTTTCATGCCACTTAATTTTATCTAGTTACATGTACCTTGAATATAATTAATTTTCCCTATCTTTCATCAATGCATTTACAAATAGTCATCTATTTTGAAATGTAAATGATCCTATTAGCATTCCAATAAACAATGAAAGGGGACAAATACCAGAGGCTATTATAAACCGACTATAAGGTCCCCATTTTACTCCTGGGTATGGACTGGCAAATGTAGATTAATGTCTTGCCACTTTCATGATCTCTTCATTTGCCGGATCTCTGTGTTACTTTCGTTCCACATGCAATCGAAGTGGAGTTAGACGTGTGTGTGCTTTCTTTTGAATTACATTGTACAAGAATCATGGATGAACTTAATTTTATGATTTTCTTTTGGTAGATATTCAGGCAGTTTAGTGTTTGTGTTAAGCTTGTTATATTCTGTTATTCTGTGTATGTTTGTCATCAATACAAATGCAATGTGCAAAAACATTTCAGTATTCTAATCAAGAGAAGAGGGATACTGGTATTGTTAATGTATGTCGATGTTGTGTGACAATACAGTCATTTCATCTATTTAATGCTCTGAAATATGGAGAGAGAAAGAGGATCTCTTTAAAACCTTATTAAAGTAACATGTAATAACACGTTGCACAAGTTCATCCCTTTTCACTGAATTTGTCTTTCCGGTAAAGTGCATTTCTTTTTGCTTGTTTCAATAGCAGTTTATTTCTTATAAGATAAGGCTATTAATTATGTGTATTTTAAGATTTGTGTTGGTATCATTTGAAAGGGAGATTATTTCCTTCAACTTTTGTAGAAAACAGTTTGTGCTATGAGAAATGTGATTTAAGTAGTACAGGCAATGGCTTTTGAAAAGTGAGCATTGTTTGTGTGTTAGTAAAATCTTAAACCAAGCAAACCCCCTTGGCTAAATAAAAGTTAAATATACATTTTTAATTAATACATTTCCAACATCATTTTAGAATATTGTACTTTGCAAGATTATTGGGCCTCTATTTTTCCTTCTTTTTCTTCTTCTTCTTCTTATAGTTAGTTATGCATATATATACCTGTGTTCTAGACAGAAGGATTCTTGTGAGTTCCATGTCTGTTCTTCACTTGAAGAATGGAGAGATCTTATGAAAATTTGTGTACAGCGAAACCTGTATAAAAAGACTGCTTAAGGCGGGAAACACAAAAAGTGGTCGTTATGGGCAGGTGGTCTTTATGTACAGTTCCATTATTACTGACAGGCTTTAATGAGATACCACATACATTCAAGGAGAACAAAAAAAGTGGTCTTTGTAGACAGGTTGTCTTTCTATACAGGTGATACTAAAGCAGGTTTGATGTACTTGATCACTAATAAAAAGTTGGAAATTACAAAGCATGAAACTTGCAAGAACTCTTTGTTTTATTATTTAAATCATATATTTTAGACATTTATACATTTATATTTGTGTGAAGGCCATTTAAAGTATTGAGATCTTAGTTGGCATTTCTTTTATTGACTTTAGGGAATAGATTTTTCTGAAATATATTTTTTCTTTCGTGTGGGATTAAGTTTCTATCTTCTAACACATTAATGAATAGTCCATTGTTATACCAATTTTTGTGTGTAGTGTGTTTCTCTGTATGTGATTTTGATCAGGATTATGTTTATTTCTCATCAATTTGATGAATCCAAAACCCTGGCCTAAACATTACTGTCGTATACAATCTACTTTCATAAATAATAATACTGGTTTCTCGCCCATTCATTGACTAAAGCACTTACAATATTATTGTTACCCCGGTCTCTGGACTCAACTGCTCTTCTGCACATTAAGCACACATTCTCCTCTCCCTAGGGGGCATTCCAGCTAGTCGCCTTTTTAAGGGAGTGCAAATCCAATCACAATGACATTCGCATCCTACCGGGTACCCAATTAAAACCAGAGTGGTGAGGATCGGGCAATGTAGATAAGTAGATAATTGCCCTGCTCAAGGACATCAGTGCCATGCTGGGGTTTGAACCCAGGACCTTTGCATTTCAATTCAATTGATTAAACCACTTGACTACGCGACAACTTTCTAATAGATTCTAGACGATTTCTCTCGGAACGTCATCACATGACCAGCACTAAACATTATCTTTGAAAGAAGAAATCAACTTTTTTATCCTATACACGGTGGCCCCCCAAAATGCTACACCTGAGATCTGCAATTTCAGCTTTGACACAATATGTCATTTGGTTTTGTTTTAGTGGGTTCAAAATTCTTTTCCGATTAACATCGCACCAAAAGTCATAAATTTTGGGTAAAAGCAATTCGATTCAACGATGTCGTTAAAATTACAGATCTAGGGTTCTTTTTGCGCGACCATGTATAAAGAATCGGGTTTAGCATCAGAGAAATATAACATGTTGAATATTAAGCATTTATTTCAATAGTTTGTAGTGTGCAATATTGTTGAGGTGATAATCTAATGCATTCTAGTTGTGTTTCTATTATTTGTATACATGTGTATATAAATTGAAATATGTCTGGTATTAATGAAAAAATCATGTAAAAGGTTAATGAAGTAATCGTGCATGGTGAATTCAGGCATTGAATATGTTAGAATTAGAATAAAATGAGCACTTAATTTCAAAAATAAAGTTACCATTTTCGTTCGAAGACTACATATTGATGTCATTCAGTGGCGTAGAATGGGCTTAGTCATTTAGAGGGGGGGGGGGGGGGGCACCAGTCTTTAGTCTACTAGAACTGCGTTATTCAACTCTTTTTTTTAGTCACGGCACCCTTTTAGGAGTTAAAAAGTTTTGCATCACCCAAATCCCGAATTCATCAAAGAGGATTTCTTTTCCATCCTTTGTACACAAAGATGTACTGGCACTTTTTCCTGTAAAAAGGCCTCTTGCCCAAAAATATATCATTCATATCCCAAATATACGAGCGAGCGAAGCAAGCCAGCAAAAAAATTGCAAAATGTTATTTAGTCATCAATATACACTATATAAGAGCAAAATTATATACGCGGTCATCTCGTTGCCAGGAATCGTCCTCATTTATCAATTTTGCGAGGATGAAGTAAACGAGGGAGACAAAACACTTTATTGTAGTTTAAATTTCATTTCGATACAAAAGCATATAAAAAAGGTCATAATCAGGCGCCGTGCTGCCCGAATCATGACGATATTCGGGTAGTGGGGTTCCTGCATTATTAGCGAATCATTAACTGTGTGGTCCTTGGCTTCTGTACAGTACAAGGGACCTTGATAATGAGCGAGATATATTGATCTTCTTTTTCTGGTGCGCTACTCTTATCTTTACAGAGACATTATCAATAGTTTAACCGAGGACGACCCTTAAAATCATTACTCACTGACATTTTTTTGTGAGAATACTGGCGAGTATTATTGATTTGGATCAGAGAATCCAGAAAAATGTAGGGCCCACATATTGCACGTTTCCTATGTTAACTATATAGGGGGAGGAATAGCTCTACCCCCGCCCCCAGCCCCCACCTGCCCAAAAGAAAATTATTAAATAAATGAATGAATAATTATAAAATAAACAATCATTTCATGCAATACTTTAGGCCTACTGATATATATTTTTCCGTAGTCAAATAAATGAACCAAAATGATCAACTCTTGTTTCTTGGTTAGATTTCATAAACATATATAGTGTGCCATAATTTATGACTAGAAGTTACAGATTCTTGTCGTTATGAATATCTCATCTTTGAGTGCGTGTGACTTAATTACCCTATGAATCCATCGTTCCCCACGAATTCACCAAGAGTTTGACGGGGGCGTTTGTCGCCAAGACGTACGAATAAAGAACAGTCGGTGGCAGTGAACGACGACAAGTACATATAGGGATAGAAATGGTTTACTATCACAATAAAACGCCCCGGCCCCCCCCCCCCCATCTCCGAGAACAAACAGACCCCATACGTGTTACCAAAATGTCCGGTAAAGGGGTACTTTTCGTGCGACAAAGTCCGGCCCGAGAATTGTAAAAAAAGGGGTGTATTTGCTTTTCACCCGGAGATTTCTTTAAAAAGGGGGTGTTTTTCCTTTTTTCTCTCATCTCTTTGGACTCCTGAGAAATTGTTTCGAATTCA